ATGGCGTTGCGTGAGGTGAGCCCCGGATGCGTGGCCCGGCCCACCGCTGACCCTCACCCTCACCTTCCCGCCGGCCACCACTACCGCCTGCTACTCACCGACCCATAGAGGAGGCCCCGGCGGTTCATGGCCACGTAGAAGCCCGAGTGCACGGCCTTGATGGCCACAGCGCCCACACGGACCGAGCGGATCTCAACCACACCTGCGTGGAAGGGCTGGGTCAGGGCAGACACAGCCTGCGGTTCTTTTCTCTCCCCACACCTCTTTCCCAAGCACCACCTCAGGTTGGGTAGGGACCCTCAGGGACCACGGTAGGTGCCCCTGAGCTCCCCAAGGAGGTGGTGGTGACAGGAGGCAGAGACCTAGTGGATGAGACTGGGCAGGAGCACGCAGAGCACGAAAGACCTGGGAGTGTCCTGTCCCCCTACACTTGCAGCATGAAAGCTCATGGTGGGTAAGAAAAGCTCACCGAGGGTGTGCCTCAGGGCCAGCTCACAGTCCAGCAGAGCAGGCTCAGGGAGAAGCCACCACCACCCTCAGCTCCCAAGGGCACAGAGGCCTTGTCTGGGCCCCAGTCTCTGCCCTCACTCCCGGCCTGGAGGACTGAGGCCCGGCAGGGCAGTCAGACATGGTCCACACTGCCCCGATGCTGCTGTGCTCATAGATACCCCCCGACCTCTGCACCTGCTATTTCCCAGCAGGCGCAACTCAAGATACCTCCTCAGAGAGGCCCCTGAGTCCCCTACCTTCCCACGCACAGCCTGCTCTCGATTTCCTTGTGCTCCACACGGCCCCTCTGAAATGACATTACTCTCCTCTGTGCAAAGAGCCGCACGAGGGGGCCATCTCACTCACTGCTTTATCCTGTGCTCAGGGCTGTACAAGAGATACCCAGTAAATAACCACTGAGTTACTTAAGGAGAGTCCCATGCTCTACCCACAGAGCTGTCCGTCAGCTGTCATTCCAGTCCCTGTCCAGATGGGGAAATCGAGGCTTGAAGTAGTGACCATCCCGGGTCACCTTGCATAGTCAGGCCTCTCCTCCAGCCTGAGGCCACCCCGACTGGCCATGCCACTACGGCTGGACCTGCCCAGCCAGTCCCCTGTCACTGCCCTGTCGTGTGCCCTAATGAGGGCCTTGGGGCCCCAGATGAAAGGCTGTGGGAGGGGCCGGGTGATTATCGGCCTGAGCGTGGTGATTCAGGCTGCCAGCCCCGAGCGTGCCCCCTGTCCAGCTCCTGCTGGCTCTGGTGCCCAGGTACCCAGCTGCCTCCTCTCTGGCCTGTCCTGTTTGCACCACGACACTGCACAAACACTACTGAATTCTATACTCTGGGCATCACCCAGCAGGAGGACAGCACACATTCCCAGCCCTATTTAAATTTTTATTTTGAGACAGGGTCTCCCTAATTTAAGTCACCCAGGCTAGTCTCAAGCTCACCTCTTCCTGCCTCAGCCTCCCAGAGTGCTGGTATGCCAGGTGTGTGCCACTGCACTTTGTGAGTGCCCATCTCGGGACTGGCCGGGCCTGCAGCGCTCCAAGCAGCCTCGGTTTACCACCGGGCCCAATGGCTACACAGCGGAGCCAGGGCCTGATTGCCCACCCTTGCCCGTCGGTGCTGCACCCATCTAACAGTAGGGGACAGACAGGATGCCAGGCTCAGAACTGCCTTTGCCGCTGTCACCTGCCTTGTACGGTCCCCACCCCACCTCACTCACTGTCTCGGCCGTCTCGCCAGCGGGTCCCCTGCACCCGGCCGCTGGGGTCCACGCGCAGGAAGAAGTGGGTGGAGGAGAAGAGGCGCCGCCAGCGCACGTCGCCCTCCAGGTGCGGGTAGCTGCGCGGTCTCCGCGGTGCGTTC